AATTTTTAAAATTAAATTTTTTTTTTTTGTATTTAGGGAAGAGTCTACAGGGTGTTCCGGGTCTCACTACTAGATTGAATTCACAGTGATCCGCCTGTTTATCGCCTCCCAAGAGGTGGGATTACAGGCTCATGCCACCACGCCCAGTCTCAATTGCCAATTGCCTTTTCAGTGTGCCCTAGGGGTTGGGCTGGCATGGCAGGCCCAGGGATCGAACCCTGAGCCCCTGCTCCTACTTGCAGGTGCTTCAATCTGCTGAACTATTTGGCTGGCCTGCAGTTGTTAATGAATACTCAAAATACGTTATGGCAAGATTTAAAAACAGTAAGGACACAAAGTTTGCCTAAATAAAGTATGTCTGACTCCTGGCCAACCAGTAAACTAGAAAAAAAGCATTAAAATACAAAAGCTGCCCCTGTTTAAAAAAAAAAAACCTAACATCATGTACATTAAGGACAGAAAAAATAAGTGGTAAGTGAGCTACCTAAACTACAATAACTAGAAATTAAAAAATACTCAAAACTAAAGATGATAATGAACATACACAATAGATAATAAAATTTATTCAAAATATGTTTTAAATATGGTCAAAGGCCCAAATATAAAATAAAGCATTTTAATCAGTTAATTTAAGAAACAGAACACATCTGAAGATGAGACTCTTTGGCAATCGCTTAATATGTTAATCCACAAATGATGTCATAGATGCTGTCTATATATTTTTAAAATAGACCTTGACAGACCAAATAACATACTTCTTTGACATTTAATATGGAAATGATATTCCACCGGGAACTCATTATTTCCCTTCATTTTGAGTAACACTGAAATTCAATATTAATCTAGAGCTTTTAAACTTGGCAAAATTTGTTCACAATAGATATTTCAATTCTAAATTAGAAATACAATAATTTGGAAGTTCCTTGTTTTACCTCTTGATTACTAGGTATTTTTTAGTAATAAAAATGGGAATAGTAACAATTCAATTAAGTACAGAGCAAGTACATGAATGTAAATCCCTTTGAGCCAAAAAGGGGTTAGTAGCATAAAATAATATAAAGTTATTTAAGAGGAAGATTGTATTTAATATACTGACAAATTCAGTTCAAAGAAATTCAATAATGACTAAAATATATCTTGTAACACCAAATTATCTTGTTTAAACCCCTAGTACAAGGTTGATCATAAGAGTATTTTTAAAGTATGCTTATATTTCTGAAGGCTGAAAAGATATTACAGAATATAACTGAAAAATGAGTAACACCGGTTGTCAGTGATATGATTCACAACTAGTGATGCTTTATTAACAACTTGACAAAATCCAACAAGACTGAAAGAAGACGGGGCCTATGTACCACAGAAGCTCACCATAAGTTAGGAAGATAAGACCTGGACTACCATTGAGTTTTTAATATAGATACTATTGCTACTATGACAATAGTTAACTTTACAGTTTTAAAGATATAAGTCATATTTATCTTGGTATCACCAGGGTCTGGTGCCCTCAATTTAGTACTAATATAAATGTACTGAAAGTATTAGCAGATGTACCTCAATAAATACAGGCCAAACCAAATTAAATGTCATTAAAAAGTCTTAAGAAAATACTATACAATAAAAGCACAAATTATTTATAATTATAGAGACCTAAAAATGTACCATAGACACAGTGGTGATAAACTCAGACTTTAAAAACCAAGTTTTTGAGGAATCCAACAAGAAACTTTGGAAGAAAGTAGGGATCCAACAGAAGAGAACACAGAAAATTTCAAAGCATAGAAAATGCTAACCACAAAATGTATAAATGAAGTATTGCCAAAACTAGTTGTGTGTTAGGAGATCTGGGTACAATCACTCTTCTGAAGGCCACAGGGAACTGCAGACTTTAGATGATGCAAGTAACAAGACTAAAATTTGCATTGAGAAGAGTGACTAGGCAGTAACACATAGAATGGAGTGGCTGTAGACAGACACTAGATCCTAAAACAATAATTAAGAGGCTGTAAGTAGCAGGCAAAAAGTATTTTTCACTATAGCCCAAAAGACAGTTTGGCCTTTGCTCTCTTCTCAGTTTTCTGTCTTTAAACCACATGGTTCTAGCTACCTCTACCTTCCTTGGGTTCTTCTTCACAGAGTTTATTTTTTTTATTTTTTATTTTGCAGAACCAGGGATTGAACTCAGGCCCTTGTGCTTGCCAGGGAAGCGCTTATTCTACTGAGCCATCTCCCTGGCCTACATAGTTTATTTTTGCTAAAGAGTTTGTACTTGCTATTTTCTCTGCTTGGAATGCTTCCCTAGATCTTCACATGACTGGCCTTCAAAATTTTCAATCTCTTCTCAGAGGCTATTTTCTCTGATGCCTGATCTGATCTTCTTCCCCAAATACTTTTCTCTTTAGTTATTCTACTTCCATGTTATTCTTCTGAGTAATTTCCACCTCAACAATTGCTTTTTTACTGTACAGCATGTTGTCTCACTCTCTTCCACCAGAGAATACATGCTGGGATTGCTGAACTCTGCCTGTGTCATTTGCCACTCTTAACTCCTCAAGGCAAAGGTGCTGGCTGGAATACAGGAGATAATAGATGTATGTTTTAAAAACCAAAATTCTTATCAGACATTTTAATGAACAAGTAACGCTGTGTACAATTCTCTGAGTTGCATTCTTGTTTTATTATAAGTTAAAGACTGGATTAAAAACATGGATTTTTAGATCACAAAATGCCTTACAGAGAGATGCAAAGCAGTAAAATTATTCAAGCTATTCAGCCTTTGTAATTAAGCAATTTGGTGGCTTTAAAATATAACTGCCTTACCTTAAAGGCTATATTCTTAGCCATAAAATTTAGACAGAGATAGGAATGTAAACTCCCTTGAAAATCAGGTGAAAGCCACAGGGAATTCTTCAAGGAAAATAGATAAATGGAACCTTCCTCATCTACTGCAAATGATTCATTCTCCTAGTTGCTGTCTCTGAATCTCAGGCTTTCACTTTAATTAAAATATATTAGTGGAAATAAACTTTAAGAAAAAATTAGTTCCATATGCATGTATATATCTTGTATTTTTACAAGACAAACACCTAGAAAATATAAAATGAATGACTAGAAGAATATAGCTTTCAAGAAGTAACTGTGTTACACAATGAAGCAGAAATATTTGAGCTAAGTACACAAAATGAGAAGCAAGCTTTTATTTGGGTTTGTTATCAGGCTAATTCTCCCTTGTTGTTTTGTGTTTCTTTTAAACAATCTGGTCCTTATGGCCTGTGAGAGTGTGACCCTGAGGCATTTCCATTTACTAACCATGGATAGATGGATTATAATCAGTCTTATTAAGCACATCAATTGAAGCTATCAACATTTCAAAGTTGCCAAATAGGTTTTTTTTATTTTTATTTTCATATTTTAGGGAAGGGTCTACAGGGTGTTCTGGGTCTCACTACTAGGTTGGACTCACAGTGATTCGCCTGTGTACAGCCTCCCAAGAGCTGGGATTATAGGCATGCACAACCACACCCAGTCTCAATCTTTATCTCAGCATGCTCTGTGGGCAGGGCCGGCATGACAGCCTGGGGATGGAAACCTGGCCCCTGTACCTACTTGCAGGCACTTTAATCCGCCGAGCTATTTGGCCTGCCTGTCAAGTAGTTTTTAAAGAAAAAACTTTACTGTTTGGCTAGCCATATATATCATACATTTTTTTTTTTCATAAGAGCTATTATAGTGCTACTGGCTAATGAGAAAATTCCTTGCTTTATTTAAATACTGTGTGCCTGTGTATCACCACAGTGGTGATCTACTTTCTGAAACAAATACTAGAGAGATCAAACACTGCCACTTGATACCTGTGAAAGTAGCTTCCATATAAAAAATGGTTTATGCCTAAATAACCCATACAAGATAATCCAAATGATCCCAGACCTTCCAGCCTGCACCCTATAGTTAGCTAAAGTTTGTGAAACTGTGAATTATTTCAGAGTTCAGTTTCTGAATTATTTTTATTTTAAAATAGCCTTCATCTGGTAAATAATATAACTTAGTAGCAGTCCATAACATCTAATTATCCAGTGTTTGGGACATGGAAAATAATGAATGTCAGAAAGTCAAAGCCTTAACCCTGTAATAGTTGATAGGAGCTGAACTAGCAATGGAGCAGAAAGCTCCAGAAGATCTCAGAGTATACAACCAGGTATACTCATGGCTCTGTATATACCCTGTTCATCTAAATAATACTAGTTAAATGTGTTTACATTTACATAATGCTTTACAGTTTAAACTACACCTATATAATTACTGCCATGACTATAGATACTGAATGAGGATCTTTAATATCAAAAAAACAAAACACAAACTTTTGGGCATTTGTACAATGCTCCACAAGTTTCTGATTTTGAAGTATTTTGATGTTGAATTTTTGGATCAATAATAGTCAACTGATAAACTACAAAAATGTTTTGAAATCTGAAAATAAAAAATAAAAAATCTGAATCAAACCAACAACCTCACACATTTGCCAGGTTGGCACTTGTGCTGCTGAGCTATCCCCTGGCTGAACCTGCAAATCTGAATGAATAGCTCCAAAAAAAAAAAAAAAAAAAAAAAGAGAGAAATGAGAAACAGTAATAGTTGTCATTTTAAAGTAAGGTGGCTAGAAAGGGACTAAAATGAATAAAGCAAGAGGTAAATTTTTCTAATAGTACCAGTATAATGTCCACATAACAGACAGATCAGATTAATATAACTTCAAATAATTGCTGAAAAAACTGATAAGGTGTATTTAATATCTCAAATATTACATAAATTATTTCGAAAACAGAGGAATGTGAAAACATTTTAACAAAATATAATTTGTATTATCAAAGTTTGGTCAAAACATCTTGCTATTAATACAAGTAGACTACAAACATTCAATTAAGACTCCTTTATAGATTTTATATTTTGCTAGAATTATAAAAAGAAAACAATTTCAATTATTGAAAATGACAAATTCTACATACGTTCTTTTGACATCTTGTTCAATCATTGATCGAAGTTCTTTATCTTGGAAAAATTTGTTCCAAAGACTCTGAAATAAGAACATAATTAAAATAATCTTACCTCTTTGCCTGGCCTATTAGGAGTTCAATTGAATAATTTCAGTGATTACTTTATGCCTCTACAGTCAGTTCAGGGTTCTCAGATGTGAAATCTGAGATTGAAACAATTCTTATTAAAAATCTAGTTTAATCTCCAAAGTACACCTTTGTTCTAACATCAACACTTTCAATTTGACATTATTATATGTATTTTTAAAATTTCTATTATCTCTATAAAGTGAATGGTTCTGTTTACAGCTGTTTACATGCTACTACTCCTATAACACAAAGGTGGATTAGAACAGAACCCATTCAGCCAACAGGCCACAGGCTGACCCTCACCTGAATTTCCAATGCAGCAAGACAGATTTACAATGTTTTCTATAAAGCTTGATTTTATAATATAAAAGTTTGTATGTAGATTTTGAAATAGGAACCTAGGTAAAGTTTAAAAATTACTTAATATTTTAAACTGCTATACCAAAGACTTTGTTATACTAATACCTACAGGAAAAAGAAATCCTACTATTATTTCTTAAATAGGAAAAATATTTTTCTATTCTCAGCTAAGTAGGAACTACAGTAGTAACTTTAAAGCTACACAAACTTTCTTAGTCTCTCCACTGATATTCTTCTCTCTTGCCCTTCCCTGCCTTCTCTTTTCTCCCCTCTCTTCTTCCCCCTCTCTCTGAATAGTGGGCTTGAAAATAGGGCCTCACATATGCTATGCTCGGGTTCTACTACTGAGTTTTCTCTCCAGTCCAGAGATTATAAAAAAATATCTGAAGCAGTAATTATTTCTAGTCTTCATGGGAACATGAGTAGATGTAACTCTGATCTTTTTTCTGACTTCTTTAAAAACTTCTTCCCATACACAAATAGGTACTTCTTCCTTCCTGGGAGTTAGTTCTGCTAAGTAGACAATTCTCTTTTCATCTCAAATGGCAGCTTTTGTTACCTGCCCCAGTGTGTAAGCCAATTAAGACAGTGCAGTGTGCCCATCTATTTTACCCTAGTTCTGATAGACCACTGGGATTTCTCTGTAGTGTCACTCTAGAGAAATAAATTTTGAACTTCCTATAACACAGCACATAAATACACCACAGAATTACCAGGTTTTTAGGTAGTATATGTGGAGTAAAGAAAATACTTGACATGAAAAACATTTTCACTACTGATTTTTAACCAGTAACATAAGCATAACCTTACAGGTAAAACAGGTTGAGACAAAAATAAAAACAAACTTTACCCCTTCATCCTGTGAAAGGGGATTGTTGATCATCAAATCTTGTTGCCCAACAACCTTCCTGGGGTTTGTGATATGCTGGTAAAGAAAGAAAACACATATATACAAGATCAGAGGGTACTTATCCATATATAGAAAACAGTTCATTAATTACATTTATTATTTACTTACTATTTCTTTAATGTTGCTGTACCATAATCTTAACTCTTTAATTCTGCTTATCCACTGATTTTTATCTTGAGGAAGAACACAGAGAAATAGCTGTTAAGAAAAAAAAGAGAAAATGTTTGTAAAAATTATAAATACATTGTGCAAGTAGGCCAACAGAACATCAAAAAAATTGAGAGACACGTCTTTCATGGAGTTTCATATGCATATCTGCATTTCAATTTCAATTCCAAGTAATCTGTATTTGAGAATATGTAAGAAAGAAATACATAACTAGAAAATTCAACACTAACCAACCAAAGGCCAAGGCCAAGATTGGAAAAGCTACACCACAGAACAAAATCAAAGAAGTTTCCAGATGAGTATTAAAATGAAGAAAACGTAATTGAGGTTCAAGTAAAATTTCCATTGTGCATTCTAATCTTACTGGGAGTGACAGGGAGTTACTAAGAAGCACAAGGTAAGATTAGTAATTTCTAGATTTAAGATTTTTCCTTACAGTTAAAAGAGAAAAACAGTTTGAGTACTGAGGACACACAGCCTATGAACTAGTTTTTCTTTTATAATGGAAATGTAATTTACAGCTAGCCATCAGATTGTAAAAATAACCATTCTTAAAGACAAATATGATTTAATTGGCTTAATACAACATTAAAATAAAATTGGATTCAGATTTATTTTTAGCAAATGAAGGACACTAAAAGTTAAACAACAGGGAATAGGGGTGCGGCACAAATACTTGTATACAAATACTCTAGCAGCAGGTCTCCTGACTTTACTGCCTGCATCTAACAGAAGAAAAATGTATTTTAATTATCAATTCTAAATTATTAAATCTACAACTGTCTAATACATCATGCATTTCTTGCTGTCTTGACTTGCACAGATTCCACTTGCTCGATAGATGCAGATAACTCTTAAAACTTATGATAAAAGTCATTTTAAAAAGGAGACTAAACCTAAATTAATTCATTTTTGGAGGCCAAAAAGGGACAATTTTTTCGAAGCAATTAAAAAGACAACTACAGATTATTACTGCTAGTTTTGGCAAGCAATGACCCATTCCCTCAGAAGGAACTGACCCAATTTCCTTCTATTTCTGCTTCTTATTGCCCTTCATGTTGCTTCTTGCAAACAAAATATAAAAATCTTTTCCATTTCTTTTTATGACGAGAACAAGGATGACAAAATGAAAACTTGTGCCATGACAGGAACCTGAAAGTTATCCACCACCCCCACGTTTGCCGAGCTTCAATAATTTCTTTGAAAGCCTTCAGCTAATATAATGGTGTTCTGAAATTTGTGCCACCAAAAGAGAAGACAAGACAGTTATTTCCAATATCTGTTTACCATTATCAGCTATTCAGGAATACGTAGTTTAACCTTATTAATAAATGTCCTATAAAAGATTAAACATGAGTGGCAAAAAATTGGGATCAAAGTCTCTTGGAAAATTCTATTACACACCCCCTCACCCCAACCTCCAGCATGGGAGGGCATCAAGTAATGTGGTGATATATTGCAAACACAAACTGTAAACACATATTTTTTCTTACCTTCCAGCAAATGCTGCGGAACCTGCTGCTTCTCAGCTGCCCATTAATCCCCTTCTGCCTTATTGTTGCCAAGTAATTGTTGTTTACAAACAGTTCTTCCCATTCTTTCCTATTTGAAAGAAACCAAAGCATGGGAATCCTTTGGTAAAATTTTTCAGCTTGGAGAACAGTACCATACAAAATTAAATTTAAATAAATCTAAGAAATACAACTTTTAAAATGTATATATTTAGTTGTTCTGTTTCTAAATGCATGGCTGTCTTTCTGGACACTGTTCTTCTGTAGATTTAATGAATATGTAGATAGCTATAATTAAGCCAGCTACTGAAATTCATAATGTCTATGGAGGCTATTCTGTTTCCTCTAAAATGTTGGTATTGCAGTTCAGTGAAAAAACAAATACAAAAAAGAAATACTAAAAATATATGACTGATATGGACATTTACCAACATAAACCTGCTCATAAAATATAGAACAAAAAAGTATGCTATTGATTATATTAGCTTCTCACTGGAAATGTTTGAATAAAACCATTTCTTTTTAATGTTAGGCTGGGTATTTAAGCATAACAGAAGACTACTTTTAACTTTGGTATTATTTACTATAATTCTTTATATATGATCAACTTTAAAATGTTAACATGTCTGGGCAAATATGAAGAAAATATCAAAAAACAAAAAAGTTTCACTGCAAAAACTGTTAAATGCAAGCCTGTATACCTTGCAGTACCTATGGCTGAGTAGATAAACAACTGAAATATGCCTCCTAGGCATGCAGACACTAGGGGCCTAACACCTGTGCCTCATTAATATACAAGTAAATCTGCTCTACTGGGAAACAATTGGAAATTAATTGTCCCAAACCATTTACTGCGTTTGAATAAAGGAATTAGACCTACATTCCCAGCATCTTGTATCAAACTAAACATTAAAAATCATTTATCAACAGTTGAGGCTACTGAGATCAGCGTCATGAAATTAATGATATTCCATGATACCACAATAAAATTAACATGTAATTTAACATCTTATCAAAGCTGAAAACCCATACACAATTTCTTGAAAGCTTTTCTAAAGAGCCTCTAAAACCTCCAGTCATTTTTCTAAAAAATGTACATGCAACCATCACTGACCAGATCCCTCTCACTTGGAACAAGGACTTTTAGCATATTATACTTACAGCCATTACTATAATCAACATAAAATCTAAAGTTCAAAAGCCTGACTACACAGCAAGATGGATCTTTACCCCAGAGTTCCAGAAGAGTGACCAAAGATAACGGGTGAATTCCCTACTTCCAGTCAGTTGCACTGCCGCCATGCATAGGAATCCTCCTGCCCATAAAGAATTGTGGCTATGTATTTCTGCCAGTATTCCAATTTTTTTTTTAACTTTCATCAATTAGTAGAAAAATAAATTGCATCTGTGCTATTAGTAACACTGGTAATTCCTCCTTTCCTGTTCATTTTAAGCAGTGTGAGACAGCAATTAAGAGCTTGGATCTGAAAGCCACAATCTTGAGATCAAAAGGCCAGCCATACAGTTAGAAATAATACACAGTTCACTGGCTATTTACTGCCCGTATCAGCATGAGTAAGTACACTAGGTCCCATATCTGTGAAATGGAATTAAAGTAGCATCTATCTTAAATAATTATTATGACGACTAAAAGAATACATGAAGGCTACACAATGCATAATATTTAAAATAATACTCTTTTTTATGTATTTAGGACAGGGTCTACAGGGTCTCACTACACAGATTGGGCTCATAGTGATCTTCCTGTTTTCAGCCTCTCAAGTGCTGGGATTGCAGGCACATGCCACCATGCCCAGTCTCAGTCGCTGTCTCAGCACACCCCGGAGAGGGGCTGGCAATGCAAGCTGGAGATTCAAACCCAGCTGCTGGGCTCTGCCTAAGCAGGTGTTTTAGTCCACTGAGCTATCTGGTTGGCCCTAATAATTATTGTTAATAATTATAAACCCTTTTTATTTTAGATACCTTATTACTGATTCCAGAGAGAGGAGTTTTTCATATATTAGAGACATCATACTTTCGTCAGGTATGTATTTTTAAAATACAATTAGCTTGACTGTTCAATACAGTGAATGATTTGGATCATGGTTCTTTATTTTTCTATTTTTTATTTTTTTTGGTGCAACTGGGGATTGAACTTAGACCCTTGCGCTTGCCAGGGAAGCACTTATTCTACTGAGCCATCTCCCCCACAGTGAATGATTTGGATTTGTGAATACTTTAAACCTAACATCATATTCTTATATTTCTCTATCCATTGTTTTCTTTCTTAATTCTTGTCTATTCGAGAGTAAAGAAATATTCACTTAAATCTTGTTTTACAATTTAAATCCATTTGTAGTATCTATAATGTCATATTTTTCCAAACAACTTCACACATACATCCACCTTTCATTTGTTAAATTTTATCTGTTTTTAAGCAACAACAGATAAGCAACGAGAAGCTAAGCACATTAGATAAGTACACCTCAAAAGATGTATGTTTAAATATTTTAAGTCTAAAACAGATAATCATTTGTCAGAAACCAGGCACTTCCATGGCTTGAAAATACCAATGATTCCAGTTGAGATAAAGAAGTACAAAGCAATGGCTCTTGTGTGGTCTCTTGCAAAATCAGCTCCTATTCACAGGTATCAAGGAATTGTGAAAGTACAAGCACAGCTGGTGGCTAGATTCACTGCCATCTTGTCAAGGAAAGCACGCTTTTAAGGTCAAGTTACATACTACTTATGTAATGAAGGATAATTATTTGTTAGCTTAAATAAGACCCTGTACCTTGATTACAGTGTTGGTACAGAGAAAAGGAGACTGAGGCATATGAATTAGAAACATTATCTCTGAAATTTATAATCATTTAAATTTATTCATGGGTACTTACAGTTCTAATTAAGGCATAACATCTCAAACTGATGAAAGCTCTAACAACAGAGGCACACAAAGGCCAAAGATAATCTACTAATTGTCTTTCTATTCTATGGAATTGTGTCTCAACATTAAATTGTGACACAGGGTAAATAAAACAAATAGTAAGTGCCTACTCCACGTGGAAGGCACTGTACAGAGTTTTGAAAAATTTTTATTAGTACATGTCTATACCACATGATCATTACATTCATCATGAGTAAATGTACATAGCATATCTTAATTCTTTTTTCAACCCTTCTCCTCTTTCCCTTTTTTTTTTTTTTTTTTT